CATCTGAAACATTGGACCTCGTATTTTGTATCATGGTTTCTTGTTTTTCTGGTGCCCCTAATGCCTCATTTGTTCTATTGGCATTGTTCTGGATTGTGTTTATGTTTTGTTTTTAGCTCCTCCTGGGTTTTGCTTGCAGTGTTCTGTAATTCTTCATGTTTGCCTTTCACTCACTGAAAATATTTAATCACTGTTCTTTTAAATTCTATGTCAGAAAGTTCCATCATGAGGGGAGGGAGTGGGCAGGGAGAAAAGTACAACAATGAATGAATGTAAACCCTAAGTCTCTGTAAACTTTCATTGAAAAAAATAAAAAACAAATGGGAAAAAAAGACATTTCCATCAGACTTTCTGGCTTCAGGAAATCCATTAATACTGTGTCACTTTTTGGGGGTGACATCTTGCTTTGCACTTGTGTAGGATAGCTTGCATCTTTCGTGACACATGTTATTTTTTTTCTGAATTTCTGACATTTCCGAAAGTTCACTTCAGGGCCTGTGAGAGCAGCCTCTTGTAGCTAAGTCAGATGCTATGGATTAAAGACAAGTTGATTGACTTTACGGGTAGGCATAGGTATGGAGCTGAATGTGGGGCAGGGCAGGCCCGTGGTGGGGGCGGTCGGTGAGACCATGGGGGCAGGTCAGTCACTTAGATTTCATCTGTCTGGGTGTGCTCACAAGTGGGTCCCTGCTCACATTTCAGCTGTCCATCTCCCACCCAGCAGCTCTCACTCAGTGATTCTTGCCCATGATTCCTCACCTAGGTGCCCTTACCCAGCGACCCCCACCCCAGTGAGGCCCTGGGTCCAGCGGGGCTTAAGAAAACTCCGTCAATTTCCTGCTGACCTGCTTGCTCCTGGCGGGCGGATCCCACAGCAGCTCAACTGGTGGCTTCAGCCAGGGTTTGTGGCTTGCTGCTTCTGTGGCTCCCAAACGAATTATTTTAATAAAAGTTCTGACTCAAATTCCTACTGTCCACTTCTTGCTGCATCACGTCGGTCTCTCTGGTGGTCCGTTTCTATGCAGCTTGCTGCTCCTCCAGCTCCGTATGCTGTTTCCTCCATCACTGTCATCTTGGTTCCCCTGAAGGCCTATTTTAAAACTACCACACATCCAGTGCTTCTCTGCCCCTACTATCCTTCTATCTTTTAATAGTATTTCTTCAATGAATTAGGTCAAATAAAATATAGCCATGATAAATTTCTTGGCTACAGCCTCAACATGAGCTTAATATTCTGCACATTATCATCATTGGGAAATGAATGTTCTTAATTAACGTTCTGAACGATTGACGTAAGACATGAGTAAATTTTTCAGCCATTATTTCTTTAAATGTTGTTGGGTTTTTCCTCTCTCTTCATTCTGTTATTCCTGTTACTCCTATGATGGTGGGTTTAATGGTATCACACTTTTCTGAAAGTTCTGTTCCTTTTTCGTCATTCTCTATCCCCCCTTTCTTCTGATTGTATCATCTCTGCATATCTGTCTTCAAGTTCACGAATTCTTTCTTCTGTCAGCTCAGATCTACTGTTTGGTCATTCAGTGATTTTGTTTGTTTGTTTGTTTCAGTTAATATGCTGTTTAACTCCCTGATACCCATTTTTATTCTTATTAAAATGTCTTTTTATTGATATTCTCTGATGTGATATGGTCATCATACTTTCCTTTACTTCTTTGATCAAGGTTTCCTGTAGTTCTGTAGCATTATTTAGCATGGTTTCTAAATTTAGCTATCTGGTTGTTCTCATAATCAGTTTCTGTTGTTTGTATTTTTTTTTCATTGTCTACAGGTTGTTGTTGTCAGGTGCTGACAAACAGTATGATTCATAGTGACCCTATGATCACCAAATCTGAGCCCTATCCTATCTGTGCCATTCTCATTATCTCTGATACACTCAAACCCACTACTGGAGTCATTGTATGAAACCATCTTGTTGAGGGTCTTCCTATCTTTTACTGACCCTCCACCTTTTTAAATGTGATGTGTCCCTTTCTAAAAAAATAGCCTCTTCTAGCAGCATACCCAAAGCATGTGACACAAAGCTATCCTTGCCTCCAAGGAACACTCTGACTGCACTTTCTCCAAGACATATCTGTCCTTTTGGCAGTCCATGGGATGTTCAATGCTCTTCTCCAACACTGCAGCTCAAAGTCTTCAATTCTTCTTCTGTCATCCTTATTCATTCACCAGCTTTCAGATGCATAACAAGTGATTGAAAAGACCATGGTCTGAATCACCTTAGTTTTTCAACTGAAGTCCTTACTCTTTAGCACTTTGGAGAGGTCTCTTGACAGCAGATTTTCCCAATACAATACTTTTTATTTCTTGACTGCTGGAACCAAGGGTGGTGATTGTGGATCCAAGAAGGATGAAGTAATTGACTATCTCAGTCTCTTCTGTATCTATCATGATGTTGCCTATCAGCCCAGTGGTGAGGATTTTTATCTTCTTCTTGTTGAGGTGTAATCTGTCTTGAAGTTTGTAGTCCTCAATTTTTGCAGCAAGTGTTTCATGTCCTTCTCTCTTTCAGCAAGCAAGGTTGTGTCATCTACATAGCATGAGTTGTTACTGAGTTTCCTTCCAGTCCTGATGCCACATTCTTCTTCATTATGTGCAGCTTCTTTAATGATTTGCTCACCATACAGATTGAATATGTATGGAGAAAGGATACAGCCCTGACAAACACCTTTCTTAATTTTAAACCATGCAGTTAGTGTTCCCTAGTTGTGTTTGGACAACAGCTTCTTTGTCTGTTCTTGGATAGGTTTTGTATAAGCGTGTTTAAGTCTTCTGGAATTCCATTCTTCTCAATGTTAACCCTAGCTTGTTATGATCCACGTAGTCAAATGCCTTTGCATAGTCAATAAAGCATAAATTGATATTCTCTGCTTTCAACCATGATCTCTCTGACAGCAGCAGTGATATCCCTGGTGTCACTGCCTCTTCCAAACCCAGCTTAAACTTCTGACAATCCTCTGTCGATGTATCTTCTCGCTGTTTTTGGATGATCTTCAGTAAGAATTTACTTGCATGTGATATGAATGATATTGTGAGGTATGGAAACAGAAGAAAATATTTTCCTGCTTCCATACCTATTTCAGTTTTGGTGTTTTTGTTTGTTTGTTTGTAAAAAGCTAGTCACTTTATAAAAATTTTAAAAATTTTAGTTTTAGGTAATACATTGTAGTAACATCTTCTGGTGGGACACTGTATTTTCATTTGCTTATTTGTTTTTTGACAAGCTGGATTATTTTAGTGTTACGTCCCCCTTCCTGCAGTGTTAAGCCTCATTTATGCTCCTCATTGACTGACTGACAAAGGAACAAACAAGTCTGTATTGGAGGAGGGGCAACCAGGGTTTTCCTTAGAGGCAAGGGTGGCTAAACACCATCTCACATACTTTGGGTATCAGGAGGGATAAGTCCTTGGGAAAATGCATCATTCCACAAAAAGGTGGAAAACCCTCAACAAGGTGGATTAACTCAGTGACTGTAACAAGGGCTTTGAGTATATATGAGATAATGAGGATGACACAGAATAGGGCAGAGTTCACATGTGAACTGTAGTTGACTTGATGTCACCTAAAAACAACAAATAAATGTTCTTCATGGGACAATAGGGAGCTCTGGTGGCCTCGTGGTAAGAAGCTGTGCAGCAGATCCCACGGGTGTAAATCTACCTGCTGCTCTGCAGGAGATGAATGAGCAGTCTCCTTACGTCTTCTGAAAACCCGCTGGAGGGTCAGCCATGTGTTGGTTGTGACTTGATGGCACACAACAACATGGGCCATAACTTTGGGTATGGACTACCACCATGGAAGTCTGAGATACCATTGACCCAGCAATTCCACTACTGGGACTATAACCCAAAGAGACCACAACCGACATCCAAGCAGATGTATGCATATCCATATTTATTGCGGCTTTGTTTACGATAGCAAGGAGTTGGAAAAAAACCCAAGTGCCCATCAACAAATGAATGGATAGAGAAGCTGTGGTATATTCACACAATGGAATGGTATGCAGCAGTGGAAAAACAAGGAACTCATGCAATATTATCCAAAATGGGTGACCCTGGAGGACATTATGCTGAGTGAAATATCTCAGTCACCAAAGGACAAATACTGCATGGTGCCACTGTTGTAAAACAGGACTGACATCAGGGTTGGGGTGACACTGAGAAAGATGATAATGTATACTACATTGAAACAGATGAGGGAGAAAACTGTTTAAAAGGGATATGTGATTAGGTATTTTTGTCATGACAGGTGTCCAGAACGAAGGCTGCATAGTGAAGTGGACCTGGGAGGAGGGATTATAAAACAATGAAAGAATTTCTCTTTTGCTTTTCCAAGAGGGGAGTGTTCTGAGGCGAGGGTTGGGAGGGGAGGAAAGTGCAACAATGAATGAATGGAAATCCGAAGTCTCTGTAAATTTTCATTTGAATTAACAATAATAATAATAAACAATTTTAAAAAATTCAATCACCCCTGGACCTTGCACATCATTGTCATTTTACCCGGGTCCTTCCCATTTGCTTCCTCCTCTCTTTCCACCATCAAACTGTGCAGCTCTGTGGTTTCACCACTATCCATCCTCACCCCTTGAGTTTCTGTACATGATTTAGTATTTATTCTCCTATTTTTACAATAATGATCTTAGGTAGTATTTGTCCTTATGAGACTCAGCTCACTCAGCATAATGCCCTCCAGACTCTCCCAAGTTACGAAGTATTTTTTGAAATTGTTGCTCCTGATGCTGCGTAGTATTCCATGGTGTGAATGTATCACAGTTTCTCAATCCATTCAGTTGTGGTTGGATATTTGGGCTGTTTCCATGTTCTTATTTTTAGATAATTGCTTTTCTGCCATTTCCTTCACCCAGCCTTTCTTTGTCAATGGCACTAAGGATCCTTCTTCTCTGTTAAAGAAGTCAGCCTAAATTCCAGGGAAACTCTTTGGTGATCTTAACTGTCCTGCTTCCCCTGTTTCCTGTGACCAGGATATCCAATATTAAAGCTTGACTTGAACTTCCCAGTGGAGCACAGAGAAGAGCCATGGGTGAAGGATTTACAGGATTCCAAAGAATTGAAACAATTTCATGATCCCAAGATAGGTAAGTAATAGTTCATTGAATACTAGGGAAGAAAGAAAAGTCTAGCCTTGATCAGGGTAAAGAACTTTGCAATTCTATTTATGAACTCTTATCTTCCTTAAAACCAAATGATCCCACTGTCAGTGGGTTTAAACTGTCTCTTAGTGACCCTGTAAGACAGTGGGTTTCTAAGACTATAAATCTCTATAAAAGAGAGGCAGACTGCCTTTTCTTTCTTTCATGGAGTGGCTGATGGGTTTGAACCACTGAATTTTCATGGTGCTAAATATACTGCAATACCAAGGCTCCATCCTGTTTCCCTCTTGTCAGTTTAATATAACTCTTCTCCCCCTACTTTCTATTTTCCTTGTAACATGGTGATATCTGAAATTTCTATTTTTTCTCTCAGGTTTTGAGATTGAGAGGGAAAATGAAGCTGATACTTCAAAACAGAATAAACTGGAGAATATGTATCCATTTATTGTTACTCTAGAGGGGAATGCTCTACATGGTCCTATTTTGCAAAAAGACTATGAACAGTTAGAAAATCAGTGGGAGCCTCCTCCTCCATCTCCTCCTCCCCCTCCCACTTCCCCTCCTCCTCCCCCTCCTCCAGAGGAGCTACAGACAGATTTAACAAAACTTATCAGTTCTCAGAACCATCCTGTAGCAGGGCAACCCGAGAGCTCCAATCTGGAAGAACTTGTCACCCCTAGACCTCACAAGAAAAAGAATCCAGGAGAGAAACCTCACCGATGTCCTCAGTGTGGAAAATGTTTCGCTCGGAAGTCACAGCTTACTGGGCACCAGAGAATTCATTCGGGAGAGGAACCTCACAAGTGCCCTGAATGTGGGAAGAGCTTCCTTCGTAGTTCTGACCTTTACAGACACCAGCGACTTCACACTGGTGAGAGGCCTTATGAGTGCTCTGTATGTAAAAAACGATTCACTCGCAGGTCACACCTTATAGGGCACCAGAGAACCCATTCTGAAGAAGAAACCTACAAATGCCTTGAGTGTGGGAAGAGTTTCTGTCATGGATCTAGTCTCAAAAGACATCTGAAAACTCACTCGGGTGAAAAACCTCACAGGTGTCACAGTTGTGGGAAAAGCTTCATTAGGCTGACAGCCCTTACTTTGCACCAGAGAACTCACACTGAAGAGAGGCCTTTTAAATGTAATTACTGTGGGAAAAGCTTTAGGCAGAGACCAAGCCTTGTTATTCATTTAAGAATTCATACTGGGGAGAAGCCTTATAAGTGTAGTCATTGTTCCAAAAGCTTCAGACAGAGAGCAGGCCTGATTATGCATCAGGTTACTCACTTTCGGGAAGATTTCTTTAAGAATTGTTGAGGTCAACCAGTTCTTCAGAAATAAGTCCTCAGAACATGACACCAACCGTAAAAGTCTTAGCCTGCAAAACCTTGTTTCTTTGTTTTTTTCTTGGAACAATGTTTTTATTGCTTTGTTTGTGTTTTGAGCTTATAAGAACAGCTTTTTTTTTCCTTTTTAAAACTCATATTCTGAACCATGTAAGTTCTAAAGTATCCTCCTATTCTTGCAACTCTCCTAAATTTGATTTTCATTCTGGCTCCACAACTTCATTTTTTTATTATAGTGAAAATGTGTACCAAACTAACCATATTATAGGTGTAAATGTCAAACATAGAAATAATGACATTACTTTCAGGTCCATGGTTGATACAATCTCAGTTATCATGTCTGTCTGATATAACCATTGTGGCAGTACCATAATTAATTTGCTTTGTCATTATTAAAAGGGACTATTTTAGCTTAAAGCATCAAAATATGGAAAGATAGGAGACAGTGAAGTTGGTCAAAGTAGAAAACTGTCAGGAACACAAGGATGAAGGAAATGATTAGTTATACAGTAAGAACCATATTATTCCCATAGAAAATATTAATGTTTAAGAAAATTTAGTTCTTATTCACTTTGGAATGGTGAAAAAATGTACTGTCTTACTTAGTTAGCCGTCAGTGGTGTTCCAGCTTATGACTCATTATTAATTTGGTGATTTTTTTTATCACAGCATTAAGTATGACTATAGAAGAACCTACTTGACAGCTGAGGGAGAATCTGATTTTATTTGGTTTGACTGATGAACCACTATCCATTGCTTTTCATTCTCCTTTGCTTGTCAATCATGTGTCTCTCAGAGCTTTGAAAACTATCCTCTTCCTTTATTTCAGTGTCTCTCAAAATGTGTGCCACAGAACACTTAGTTCTACATATAAGTTTGAGAAATGCTCCCTAACATCTCTTTCCTTTGTAGATTCACAGTGCACATCAACATAGGAGAATCTTTGAAAAGTCCAGTAAAGGGGAAAAAAAGTATAGATAGATACCTTTTGGACTCAATGCTTTCCAAACTTATTTGCCTCCAGAACTCCTTTTCATGTATACACAGTAATAAACTGTAGAAGTAGTGTTCTGTAAATAATCCTTGGAACATGCTGTCTTGAACAAATATTTCAATAGCTCACATTATAGACTTGTTGCTTTTAAGCCTACTTATCTTCAGTTATCTCAAAGAATCTAGCAAACATTTATGTCTTTTATTCAATAGACACACCATTTGAAGAGTTGTTGTTAATGTGCTGTTTGTTGAGTTGGAACCAATTTATAGCTGACCCTCCAGCTGGTTTTCAGAGGTTGTAAGTTGCCTGAGAGGAGTTTCTCATCTTTCTTTAGGTTTGCAGCACAACTCTTCACTCACTAGGCCACCAAAGCTCCATTTAGAGAGAGAAGTATCACTAAATCTGATTATTTATAGGTTGTCCAGTAATTCTCAACCGCTTTAATTTTTTAAAAAAATTATATATTAATACACATGCATCTAATTGAAAATGTTTTCATATAATTGTGTTTTAGGCTTTCATTTTTCTGTAGTGAGGGAAGAACTCCCTTTGTCAGTTCAAACTGTTAATATGTGAAAATATTTATTAAGCCTGGCTCATTGTTGTAAAATAAAAGAAATAGGACATCCAAGCATTTTCTCTTCATGAAGATATCCAGTCATCCTTTCCTTAAACTAGAACCAGGAAAAGCATCTTTCTTATATTCTGTTGAGGTTGATGGAAGTAGTATTTGGTTTAAGTATTTGATAGGTATCTACCATGTACCAGTCTCGATACTAAGCTTAATGGAAGCATGTAAGGAAACAAATTATGTGTCAGGCTCCTAACAGAGTTTATAATATTTCTAGTTAAACAAGAGTTGGGAATCAAGTGGAGAACAATGCAAAAGAGTTTATAATGAAGTGCCAAATCATACCAAGTGCTCGAGCCAGGATTTTAGTCATCCAGGTTCTTGTATGATGCTGCTATATTTCTAGAGTTAAAATTTAGATCCCAGTAGCAATAAACATGTACTATGGGAGGAGTCTTGAATGTAGAAATGAAAATGCTGAATGTAATGGCTTCTCTTTTCTTCTTTGTGGAATTGCACTCAAACCAGAACAGTGCCTTAGAATGGATCTACCCAACTGCTCTGTATCTATGCAATATTTTAATAAAATGAATATATATTATATATATTCCCTTCCTGCTTCAATCTCATTGATGATTTGAACAACATAGAGCTGTTTCCGTGAGCCATGCAACAAGCTCTACAGTTGTCTCCCATTCCAAACCCAGTCAAAATAATTTTCTTCTGTGCAACCATGATATTGTATTCATGTGTTGCCCCTGTCTGCTCCCTCTCACCCAGCATTTAACACAATTCATTTTAGCTTTCAGGTTTAATTACAAGTATAATATGAGCTGTGTCTAGGGTAATGGGAATAGGTGTGTTGGAGTAGGTGAGATTGCCTCAGGAAAGGGCAAGGTTTGGTGCTATTGTGCATAGGGTCTCTCTGAGTCATAGGCAACTAGATGGTACATAACAACGATATGAGCTGCAATCTCCCAATATATCTCATACATAAATGCATCTCTCTTCATCCATTAGTACCCATTGCCTTTGAGTTGATGTCAACTCCAAGTTGATAATCCTCCCTCAGACTTCTGAGGCCGTACATCTTTTTTGGGAGGAGAGAGACCACCTGTCTTTTCCCTGCAGAGTGGCTGGTGGATTCGAACTGTGGGCCTTTTAATTAAGCAACTTGATATGTTATACTCTACACAATCAGAGCTCCTTCTATCAATTACAGTGCCGTATGTATGTTAAGTGTTATTAAATATGTGTGCAGTTGATTAAAGACAATGTGAAATAACATGTAAACTGAAACATATAGCATATTTCATGTATATGTCCTACTTTCTTTCCCCAAAAAAAATGATCGAATATAGTAATCATATCCTAATGTGAATGGCCAACTGTAAAAGGCAAGCAATAATACCCACCAATTGCCAGCATCAGGATGGATGGTGAAGAGATTGAGATTGTACACAGCTTTAGTTTGCTTGGCTCCATAGTCAACAGTCTTGGCACCAGCAGCCAGGAAATTAAAAGGGGCATTGCCATGGGAAAGTCTGCTGCTAGGGACCTCTCCAAAGTGCTGAAGAGCAGTGGTGTCTCTCTGGAGACTAAGGTGCGTCTGATACAGGCCATGGTCTTTGCAATCACCTGTTATGCATCAGAGAGTTGAACAGTGACCAAGGAGGATAGAAGGAGGACTGATGCCTTTGAGCTGTGGTGCTGGAGAAGAGTATTGAGAATACCATGGACTGCTAGGAAAACAAATAGATTTGTCCTGGAAAGGGTTAAACCGGGTGGCTCCTTGGAGGCAAGGATTCTGAGGCTCCGTCTAACTTACTTTGGACATGTAGTGAGGAGAGACCGGTCCTTAGAGAGGGACATCATGCTTGGGAGGGTGGAGGGATGGCGCAGGAGAGGAAGGCCCTCTATGAGGTGGATTGATTCAGTGACTGGGATAATTGGGATGGGAGTGTCAGAGACAGTGCGATTGGCACAGGACAGAGCGGAGTTTAGGGCTGTTGTACATAGGGTTGCTATGAGTCGCAGGCGACTCGACGGCATATAACAACAGCAATGACTACTATGAAAGTGAAATATATTTAAACTCGGATATATATATATATACATATATATATATATATATACATATATATATATATAATCTCATCATCGTTGAGTTCGTAGGCTATGAGTTGTTAATGTGCTGAGTCAGCATTCATAGCTGACCCTCCAATGAGTTTTCAGAGCCTGTATATTGGACCAGAGGAGATTGCCCATCTTTCTCCTGAGGAGCAGCTGGTATACTCGAAACGTCTCCCTTTGAGTTAGCAGCGCAACTCTTACCACAAGGCCACCAGAGATAGATAGTAACTTACAAGAAATATCAGTATATTTTATTTTAATTCTTTGTTGTTTAGTGATCAAAGCATTATGGGGTGTGTTTTTCCTCTAAATCTAGCACTTGATGTTTCTTTTTCTTTTCTTTCTTTTTTTTTTTTTTTTGTATACAGAGACCTCGCCAAAGTACTGAAGAGCAACGATGTCATTCTGGAGACTAACTAAGGTGTACCTGATCCAGACCATGGTCTTTGCAATAACTTGCTATGCATTGGAAAGCTGGACAGTGACTAGGGATGATAGAAGGAGAATTGATGCCTTTGAGCTGTGGTGTTAGAAAAGAGTACTGAATATACCAGAATATAACAGTACTGTTAAGAGAACATATTTGTCCTAGAGAGGGTGAGATCAGGCTGCTCCTTGGAGTTAAGGATTCTGAAGCTTCGTCTGACATACTTTGGACATGTTGCAAGGAGTGATCAGTCCTTGGAGAGGGACATCATGTTTAGGAGAGTGGAGGGACGGCGCAGGAGAGGAAGACCCTCGATGAGATGAATTGATTCAGTGACTGAGATAATAGGGATAGGAGTGTCAGAGACAATAAGATTGGCACAGGACAGAGCAGGGTTTAGGGCTGTTTTACACAGGGTCACTATGAGTCACAGGCAACACGATGGCACATAACAACAACAGCAGTGTTCTTATTAGGGATCTCTAGTGGCCTAATGGTAAGAATCTGTGCTACAATCCTGAAGACACATGGTGCAAATCTGCCAGCTGGTCCATGGAAGAAGGATGGCAATCACCTCTCATGTGATTACTGCCTCTGAAAACTTATTGGAGGATCAACTGTGGGTCACTTCTGACTCAATGGTACACAACAACACCAATGTTCTTATTGGTGAGTCCAAATAGTTCTTTATTTCAATTTTCTTTTTTTTTCTTTATTTCAATTTTCATCTTAATTCCTCTTTGAACCTGAACCAAGAGTTGTACAGTGTTGGCCTTTTCCTTTCAATTTTTGGTTTTACTGCATTGTGATTGGAAAATGAGGTTGATTCTATCTCTGGTTTTAAAGGTCTTGAGGACTTAGATGAAAGTTAATTTGTGGTGGTTGTTAATGTGCCATTGAGTTGGAGCTGGTTGTAAATCTCAGTGGAAGGAATTGTCCATCTTCCTCCCATGAAGCAGTTGCTGAATCTGAACTGCTTGCCTTTGGAATGGCAATGAAACTACTCACCACTAGGTCTCTGAACAAGCTGGTAAGTATCCTAAATTTAGCCCAAACCCATTGCTGTCAGACTTACAGCAGCCCCTGGATTTCCCAGAACCGCCTCCCGAGAGTGCCAAGGATGTGATCTGTACATTATTCTCCCACAGAACAGCAAGTGGGTTTCAACTGTTGACTCTTTGTTTATTTGTGTGGTGTACCTTTGAGTCAGAACCAACCCATAGCTGCCCTCCTGCGGGTTTTCAGAGGCAGTTAATCACACAGGAGAAGATTGCCCATCTTCCTGTGAAGTTGCTGGTTGATTTGATCCAAGTGCCTTTGGGGTTGTAGCACAGCTTCTTATCACCATTTTTGTTATGTGTCATTGAGTTGCCTGCGACTCATAGCAACCCTATGTACAACAGCTCTGAAGCCTGCCCTGTCCTGAGCCAGTCTCACTGACTCATGCACCTAACCACTTTCCCCCAGTTACCATGTCAATCCATTTCATCTGGAGTCTTCCTTTCCTGTGCTGTCTTTCCGTCCTTCCAAGCATGATACCCTTCTTCAAGGACTAGTCCCTCCTGGCTACATGCCGAAAGTATGTGACATGGAGCTTCAAAATCCTAACCTCCAAGAAAAACTTGATTTCACCTTCTCCAAGACAGACCTATTTGTTCTCCTGATGGTCCATGGTATCAAGACTCTTCTTCAGCACCACAACTCAAAGGCATCAATTCTTCTTCTGTCATCCTTTGTCATTGTTCAGCTCTCTGATGCATAGCAAGTAATTGAGAAGACCATGGCCTGGATCAGGCACACCTTAGTCTCTAGACTGACATCATTGCTTTCCAGTACTCTAGAGAGGTCCCTGACAATAGATTTTTCACAGTGCAATTTGTCTTTTGAATTCCTAACTGCTTGGTGCCAACAGTGTTTACTGTGAAGCTGAGCAAGGTGTAATTGTTAACAATCTCAATCTCTTCTTCATCTATCATGGTGCTGCCAGTTGGACCAGTATTGAGAATCTTTGTCTTCTTTATGTTGAACTCCAATCCATGCTAAAGACCTTCTGCAGCAAATGATTCAGGTACTTCTAAGTTTCTACAAGCAAGGTTTTGTCATCTGCATAAAGCAGGTTGTTGAATCTTCCTCCAATTCTGATGCCACATTCCTCCTCACAAAGTTCAGCCTCCCAAATGATCTGTTCCACATAAAGATTGAAAAGGTATGCAGATAAGACACATCCCTGACACACTCCCTTCCAGATTTTGAACCATGTAATGTTTTCCTACTCTGTTTTGAGGACTGCCTCCTGATCTAAGTATAGGTTTTGCATGAGCACAAGAAAGTGGATTCCCATTCTCCTCAAGGTTTGACACAATTTGTTATGATCCACCACCAGGCCACCAGAACTCTGCAACTCTTTAATTAGCATCCAAGTTTTTAATCACTCTGTCATCAGGACTTGTACAAAAGAATTTTATTTGTAGGGCATAAATACACAGTACTCTAAATCGAGTTTGGTTTTATTTAAAAATAATAAACACAAGTTGAAGGAACTAGAAGATTGGCTATGTTGTTAGGTACCATAAAGTTGTGTATGACTCAGTGACCCTGTGCCATCCTCTTCATCTCTAACACACTTGAGCCCATTGCTACAGTTAGTGTGTCAGTCCACTTCCTTGGAGGTCTTCCTCTCTTTTGTTGACCCTCCCTCTTTCCAACATGATGTCCCTTTCCAAGGACTAGCCAGCCTCTCCATACACAATAGCAAATGAAACCCTTAGAGGACCTTGTGCAGTATCTAAGAGGGCACACAATAATTAAGAACAGTGCTTATAAATTACTGTTGGGTAAAAGAAAAGATAGTAGAACAATGTACCAATAAAGAAATATGCATCACCAGCAAATATATCGGGAAAAGAAATGAACATGTTTGGTGACTTCATAAGAAGGTTAAAGCTTTAAAAGGTTGCTAGTCCAATTACCTAGGGAAAAGGTTGGAGGTCACAGGAATGGGTGGGGTGGCCCGGGTTGGCCCTCCCAGCAATCTACATAGTATCAGGAAAGCAGTCCACCTCTTCAGCTCTCAGTCCCATTCTTTTTGTCCTTAATTTTAACTCATCTTAATTTGTGTCTCATCAATTTTTAGGCCTCTCTTCCTCCTCACCCATCCCTAGGATCCATCCGGAATGATTCTGTATTTGTGTAAACCTTTCTGAACCTTTTTTATAATAGTTGTGAGCCATCTGGTTATAAACAACCCATAGATAACTCCCTTCGGTGGGTTTTCAGCACTGGTGGCCTAGTAGCAAGAAGTTGCGCTGCAATTCTGAAGGCACGTGGTTTAAATCCACCAGCTGCTCTAAGGGAGAAGGATGAGCAATCTTCTGTGTTATTAACTGCTTTTGAAAACCTGCCAGAGGGCCAGCAATGGGTCTGTTACAACTCAATGGTATACAACAACAAATCGCACGAAAGGAGACTGCCTATCCTTCCACCACAGCGCAGCTGGTGGATTCCAACCAAATGCCTTTGGGATTGCAGTGCAACTTCTTACCACTATAGTTATTGTTTTTAAGTGCCGTTGAGTTGAGCATGATTCATAGCGACCCTACGAACAAAATACCTGAACTTTGTTCTAAAATTATTGTCTTTTTTTTTTAAGTTCATAGAGTTTCCAGAGACATGCTGTTTAGGAAGTGGATGCCACGCCTGCTTCCAAGTATCGCACTCACAAATTTATCCATTTGTGACTATTTCACTCAGCGTAATGTTCCCTAGATTCGTCCATGTTAGGCAGTACTTCACAAATTCTTCGCTTTTTAATTATTCCCATTTTCTCAGAGCCTAAAAAATCTTGCCAGTAGCACAGCCTTTCAATCTGTGCTGGCTGGCAGGTACAAAGCCCCTGGGCAGGAAGCAGGAGTTCACTGGGTAAGCTCATCTTACTAGCAGAGGGCGGGACAATCGCTTGGATGGGTTGTACGTAGCCACCTCCCCGTTGCACCAGAAAAAAGGAGGAGCTATGTTAGAAAGCAAGGGGTGGGGCTGAAGTGACAAGGGGCGGATCTGCGGAAGGGGCTTATTTCAGGCTACAGTTCTGTAATTCCTGGAAGGAGGCGGAGCTAGGTCGAGGTCGCTGTTATGAGATGCTGAAAGAGGCGGGGCTCAGGCGCTCTATGGTAGAGCATTGGTAGAGGGCCGGGCTACGTGGGCGGGGCCGTGACCACAGCCGCCGCTGATTCTTGGAATGGGGTGGAGCGAGGTGGGGGCGGAGCTTGAAAACCGGCGAGAGGCGGGGCTGAGCACGGGACAGCAGTTCCCCTCGGCGGAGGAGGGGCAACGGCGGCCCCAGCGGCGCAGATCTCAGGCGAGGCCGGGCTGCGGGAGACGCGGTTCTGCGTGGCTCCCGCTGCTCGCGCGCCTGGGGGTCGGCAGGAGCAGCGCGGCCGCAGGCCTATGGCGCCGGCAGCGGCCCTGTCGGCAGCAGCGGCGGCGGCGGCCCTCTCGGGCCTGGCAGTGCGACTGTCGCGCTCGGTGGCGGTCCGCGGCTCTTACAGCGCCTTCTGTAAGGGGCTCACGCGCACGCTGCTCACCTTCTTCGACCTGGCCTGGCGGCTGCGCATGAACTTCCCCTGCTTCTACGTGGTGGCCTCGGTGATGTTCAATGTGCGCCTGCAGGTGCGCATCGAGTGAGGCGCGGGG